GTGTGTAATAAAGCATGGGTGGTCGTGCAGTGTTCTTGTCTTGCATTTGATGAGCTTTCAGACATGGGCTATGGCACAAAAGGCATGGGCTATCATTTCATGTTCTATCTCGGTCACAAAAATAATATAAGACGCATGTATCTAAAATATTATTATGGGATATATATATATATATATCATTTGGCAAAATTTTGAAAAGAAAGGACAAGAGATTGGGGATTGCAAGACTAAAAGACCGACTATGCGTGGATGGTTATTTACATATTCCATCGATTATTTTTCATTCAAATATTCAAATTTTAGTTTAAAAATTATTTAATCTATTTTAAACATTAGAATGTTATTCATTTTTTATATTTATTATTTTTTTCAAATTATATTAATTAAATTTGAAAAATTATAACTACTATTGTTATATTATATCATACACCTTTCTTTTTATCATTAGTAGATGTTATTTAGTCGGATTTTGTACATTAGACTTTATTTTGTTTGCGTACGATTTGCAATTTTATTAGATATAGGTCATGTTGTGGTTCATAAATGACTTATTATTAACAAATATTTTGTGACGTTAGAAACTTGGAATCAGGGAGCACGCAAAATGCTTTAATAATAATAATAATAATAATAATAATAATTTATTCAGAAAAAATTTGACACTCTTTGTCAACAATTTATGATTGCTCTCAACTTTTACCACTTCATGTTACACGCAACAAGGGAACAGCTTTTGTCATTGATTTTGGGCAATGCAATCCCATGTTTTTGTCAGCCTTTTCCGATTGTTTTCACATCGACCCCGAAACTTAACAAATTCTCTGAATTTTCCCCATACTTGCAGAATTGTCAGCTCGAACCTTCTGATATGCTTTGTAAAGACGGCTGCCACGATCTTGAGATTCTCGGCCTTTGTTTTTCTTGCTTCTTTATCTGAAACAAAATTATTTCCAAAATTAAAATGGATTTCGACCCGAATTGGTTATGGTTATTGAACAAATTCATATTATATGAAATAAAATTAAAAAGAAAAGTCACCTGAATTTCCTTGTCAAGCTCGATTGATTTACTCGGCATTGCAACATCTAGATTCTCTGCCGTTTCTTTATGCTGCTTCTTCAACTTTGCACATTTCTTTGCTAACAATCCTTTCTTTACATCTGAATGTCACCCCACAATTTTCAAAATGTTCAAAATAAACCCAGATGATTTCTTTGGAGCAACTTCAACCGCAGAACCCCGGAAGCTCGCGGAGAAAAAATTTTCAAATTCAAAACGAGATCTATACAGCACAGCACGTAGATACATACATATATATATACATGCATGCATGCATGCATGCGTGCATACCTTGAGTGGTGATGAGTCTATAGACCTGTCCAAGGGCGAGGGTATCTGTCGGTCGGAGAAGCTTGATCCTCGTCAGCCGAAGCGGCGGAGGCGCGGTGGCTCCGCCGGCTCCGGAGAGAGTGGTGGTGGAGATGAGAAGAGCGACGTAGTGGCCGGGGTTCATCTTCATGACATAACTCGCAGAGACAGGGATACTGAACTTGTCTTCTTTCCCACTTGGGTGCTGAATCACCACTGATGCTGTGTCCACTGCTTGGCAATTTCCCATCTTTTTTTCTTCCTGGGTTTCAATGGGAACTTTTTTTTTTCTTCTCTTTTGTTGTTTTTGAAAGATTTTGATGTTTTCAATGGAGATTGAGAAGGAGGGCAAAGCAGAAATGTACTGACGATGAGGGTGAACAAAACAGACTCTTGTCTTTCTTTATATGAGAGAGAGAGAGAGAGAGAGAGAGAGAGAGAGAGAGAGAGTTAGTGGGTTCTCTCGGTGACGGTGGAATCAAAATAATTAGAGTCACATTTACATTTCCATTGAAAACAACAAAAGAATAATTACAGTCACACATACATTTCAACTAGAAAATAAAAAATAAAAAAATTAATATTAAATATAGGAAATAGTATACGTTAAGTCTCCCTTTGAATCCGGGATTCAATCATATTATGACTTGGAATTGATGTTTTCATTTCACTCTAACGACATCGTATGGACCCGACATTTTGTATGAAACAACAAATTAAAACTTTTAATCAAAATTTAAATTTTCACAAAATATTGCCATTTTATTAAAAAAAGTGATATGTGTATAAATAAACCAAATTATATCAATTAAACAGTTGTTCTTTTATGGCGGTTTGGTTTATATGTGATGTGAATATAATTACTATATATGATTGCGATAGCTTTGTACAAAATTGAAATAAGTTATATATATAATAAGAAAAGTAAATTTTTTAATGTATGTTTTTTCATAAATATTATTTGTTTAGATTCTTTGGCAGTTTTTATAAGGTTCGATAGTAATGATGTTTTTTTATTAGAATTTGATATTTTAAATGTTAATTATCCATCAAAATCTATATTTTTTTTTGGGGTTATCTTCTTTTAAATAAACAAATAATAGAAAAAAGGTTATATAAAAAAAAATGGTTCACGAGACATGCGTTTCGAACCTCATTATTGTGCGTTTCCATTCCAACCTCATTATTGTTTGGTCCAAAGAGATTCCAATGAGACCGCAAAATCATGAAGACTGATTTATTTTAATAATTTTGAAACAAAGCTAAATGCTTTTATCACATACTAATATTGATATTTTAATTCTTCCATTCTCCACACTAT